GGCTGAACACATATTATGTTCATGCTCTAGCTTAGAAAGACTAAGGTTCGACACATTTGGCTTTACCAACCTAGAACCTATCGATTTCAGACAAATCTCACCCAATTCAACCATGAACTTTGTAAAAAGATGTGGATTGTACGGTGAACTGTAACCTCTAGGGGTGAGCCACAATAGACCCATCTGGGGTCGCAGTGGAGTGGAGGTGTTCGCCCCACTCACATGGAACCTAACCTAACCTAACCTAAGTGATCGCTTCATCACAAGTTAACTTCACTGATGTGCACTATTTGTAACATGAATATCATTATCAAAACGAAGGTGATAGTCATAATTTATTGAATTTTACAATATATGACGAAAAATAGGATATTATTCATCGAAGAATCGAATAAAAATTGAAAATTTCATTTTATTACAGAGCCTAATTATATCGTGAAATTAAATTCTGAAAGAACAATAATTGATTCATTTATCTATCTTTCATATTCCTTGCACATTTTTATGATCTAGACTCTAGAGGGATGTTCCCAAAGTTCTATTCTGGGAATTGTGTTATTGTTAAATTACGCAGAACTTATAGGCGATGTTATTGGTGCCAGACGAGTCTTGACACGTTAAAGCAACTATTTAACTTGTCGAAACTTGTCTGGCAATAATAACTTCGCCAATAAGTTTTGCATAATCCAATTATAGCACCATCAATATTATTCCAGGCAGTAGTGTGATTTCTTCTGAGGAAACAAGGATCATGCACGAAAATTGTTGAAAATTGACCGTACCTGCACACTTTGTGAAAGTTCTACGCCTGTTAATCTACACCAATCGGAAGACTTGGATTCATGGAACACTTTGTTAGGGTTGCCATCCGTCCGGATTTCCCCGGACATGTCCGGGTTTTAGAGTCCGGGGACGTCCGGGCGGGTTTTGAAAAATTGCCTGGATTTTCGTCACTTCAAACCACTGACATAAACTATTATCATGTCAGTGAAAGTTTGCTCTAAAATTGAGAATTTGTAGATTTGGTATTATTTATGTGACTTATATAGTTTTGTTTCAAACTCTTGATTGGTTTATTTTTTGTTTAAAAATGTTTTTGAGTTTTTATTCGATTTGTGCAACAAAAAATATGTAGGTAATATACCCGAATTATAGTGATATCTAGAGTGATATTCACCATTCACCTTTGGACTCATTCATATGTATATGAAAATGGAATTACAAAAAATGATGCCGAGTTTTCAAAATTCCCGCTGTCCGGATTTTGTCCGGATTTTCAAGTAGCCTTGTCCTGGTTTTCACATTTCAGAGATGGCAACCCTAACTTTGTACAATGCTGCGGTACTGAGAAAATTTGAACCCATAAAGGGAACTGCAAGAGACGTTAACTGACCAAAAAATTCCTGATATTTACTACCATAAAGAATGTCACAAAAGTTTCGTCCACAAAAAAAATCCTGAAAGAATTGTTCGCGGCGCAGATAAAGGTCTTTCATATGCTTCAAAAATTTATCGAAGCGTTCAGCAAATTATGCAGAGATTGGGTGCTGTCTGATGATGTTGATAACATCATAGAAGAATTAGTTTGCCAGTTGTATGCCCCCAAATGCAAGGTGAAATCTGTTGATGAGCTGCGCTATCAGATGTTCAGAGGAAAGGAGAGGCGAATTGTAAGCTTTCAAATGCCTCCTTGTAAAGACATTTTGAGACAACACAATAAACGTGCCAACTATCAATCCGGAATTTGGCTCAGAAGCCTGGAAACCAAACCGCTAATTCCGGATCCTTTCTCTCATGGGTGGGAAAAGGACATATCATGTAACTTATCTGTCAAGTGGATGGAAGGCTTGCCAGCACCGGAGTGCGTACTCTCCTTTCTGCGGTACCACTGCAAGAGCAACTTGCTCGTGCTTAGCAACTCAAATCCGATGCACCGAGAGCTGCGAGTGCAAGGGATGTACCAAAGAAACAGCAGATGAGGAAGAGTGTAATTATAATTACTATAATAGTGATTCTAGAGAAGAAGATTGAATCAAAATTTTTTAGTGATATTTATGTAAGGCATGCATAAGTCCTTTTGATTTCTTATTGTTTGATTGTTTTGTTCAATGTTTTCGATATCTACATGAGTTGTTCTACTTCTTTCGTCATTCAATCACCTCACTTTATTCAAGTTCATTGACAAGTTGCTGTTCAATACCGAGATATTAAGAGTTGACAGTATATGACTATTATTGATTATTATTGTTATCCATATTCCAGATGAATTATATAATTATTGTTGATGATAGTTATCAGTTTAGGTGATTGAAAATCATGTTACAAAAATAATGCACCTTGTTAGGTGATGTGAAACCATCTAGTGGTCGATTGTACGCTTCCTGCTAGGCAGAATTGAGGGCTAGGTCAACGCGCAACTCTGCTCCGCCCGCTTTCAATCTGGAAATTTCGCGTTCTTTTGATTCGATCTTCGATTTCTTGCCAATGTTTCGAAGCTGAGATATTCCTCTACAACTTCCATTTCCATTACATTTTCGATATACTCAACCGTTAGTCCAATAAACAACAACGTAAATTTCAAAAACCTTATTTTCCGTTTTTTCGAATTTTGGCACGTAAATATTGATTTTTCAGCCTTGAGTATAAGCAACAAAAATGAAGCTAGCAAAATATCCTATATTTTGAGCAGAAGAAATTCGAATTTGATCCTTCCCACCCTGAGATAATTGCATTCAAATATTTACATTCGTCCGCCATTTTGAACGGCCACCATATCTGAAAGCTACCTCCTCATGATGGCCCCCCTGACTTTCTTGTTCAATATTACCCTAGTAACACGTGTTATGAGTTTCATTCAGTCTCCCCAAATTATAATGACTGATGGGTCTGGCACATGGACTATTAATACTGTTCAACTCAATCTGTTAGCTCCAGTGCAATGTGTGAGTGTAACTTTCAAAATTCGCTCAGAAATGAATATTTATCGTTGTTCTCTCCAGGAACCAAATGATCTGCCCACAGATTCTGATGCTTCTTATGGAAATTTGAGGCCTGTGAGAGAAGTTGTAGACGCTGCTCTGAATTATTTGTCATGTAGCAACTCTGAGGTATGTATTTATTTGTGTTTAATGCAGTAATAATAAGTTATGCATTTGTCACGTTTCAGAACTCACCTGTGATCATTCCTTCCAACGAAACCAATTTTGTTAGAGATGAATTCGAGGAAAGAGTGTATTTGAACTATTTGTATAGCACAGTGGAACTAAACTGGTCAACATTGATAACGTCGTGCTCCAAAATATAGCCTGAATTCAAAGTAGAATATCTCACGAATTTCCTTATCAATTTGAAATCGGTTTTCACCGATGATTAGCCTAATCTCTTGAAAGTTCGTTGTGGCAATATGAAACTTCTCTAATTTCATTTCAAACATATTCTTCTTCATCCCAGGACAATCTGGACATATTTTTTATCGCACCTTGTATATCCATCGTCAAGAATGAACATGAATTTCATACTTATGGAACTACAATCGTAAATTTTCGAATTTTATAATTTATCTTAACGAAAATGCATCATTTCGATTAAAAATGCGTACTTTCATTAATCACCTTCGATCCAAGAAATTACAAAACCATCTCGAGGTCAGGCACCAGACATCCTCATGACGAAGTAACACTACATTATTTCACTAGTAACACAGAGAAAATCATGTTTCATCTTCTGAAGACTAAGTTATTCTCCATTCCATCATTCAGTATTTCGTGTATCACTTTGTATAGACTTTCTCAGAATTTTTTGTGTTCGAACACAATCACATATCCGACGACTATACATATACAACGTTGAATCTTCAGAGAAGAATTCCAACTTTTAATTTCATTCAATCAATCGTCGAAAAAATGCATCTTCTGAATGAATATTCATAGCACGATCATCAAAGCTCTGAATTTGAAAATCCCCAAAATATTCCGAGAGAAAGCATCAATCAAGAGGATACAGGTGAGAAAAACATTTTTGAAAATTAGTTGTTCAAACGGTAAGGTGACAACCACGATGCAATTTCACACCCATTCAATTATCACCCTGTAGCAATGTTATCTGAAATTACAGAAGTTTCATATTGCCACAACAAACTGTCAATGGATTAGACTAATCATCGGTGAAAACCGATTTCAAATTGGTAAGGAAATTCGTGAGTTTTTCTACTTTGAATTCAGGCTATATTTTGGAGCACGACGTTAACAATGTTGACCAGATTATAACGTGCTCTTTCAGATTATTGAACGAATCGATTCAGACATATCCGAAAATAGTGATGACTCTGTATGCGATATAGATTACACACCAATAGAAGAAAACTCAGACTCTTCTGAAAATGGAATCAATGAAAACCCAGCTGGGCATTCCACTGTAGAAAGGAATGAACGTGTAGGAGGTGAAAGAAAAACGACACTTGAGGAAGACAGAACAAGAAAAGGAGTGCGCAAAGAGAAAGAGTGGGAAGAGAATGTGAGGAAAGAGAAAAATTAAGTCAGGAAACTTCTATTACTTTTTATTCCACACTTTATTTCGAGGTGAACATTTCATATTGAAGTATGTCTTAAAGTGCAACCTATTTTAGATACTACTGATCGAATATGTGAATTTGATTATTACATATTACTCGAACACGCAGGTATGGAAAGAATCGAGAGGACCATATTAAATTCCATATTTTTTTTTTCTTATCTTAATTCTCAGTTGCAAAATTGAGGCTCCCATGAACATTAAAACAAAAGACACATTCATTTTAATCATTCACGGTGGAGAAAAATGAATTTATTGATAGCAACACATGGCATTGTCAAAAGTTGTCAGAATATCAGAGCACTGTCAGGTAGAGACAAATTAAAATGGAACGTTCTACGAATACAAAGATATGCATTTCATCTATAGTGAAACCAGTGGGAATCCAAGAGCCGCTGCTGAATTATATCAGAATAGATTTCCAGACAGACATCATCTACATTTCACGACTTTTACAACTGTCCATCGGCGATCGAGAGAAACTGGGTCTTTCAAATTGAATAAAGACAATTGTGGGCAAGGATTATGTGGATTGGTATACCAAGTTTAAATTTTTTTGCTACAGGGGTTCTGGAGAAATTGAGAGAGATCTTGACTTTTCTCGTACTTTTGACACATACCTTTTCACCTCAAAATGAGGAGAGGAATTGATGTACGAAGTTTGTCGGTCTTATTCTGGGTCACCCTGTACTTCGATAATCATTGAACACGATTAGGTTCTCCATGCTCTGGTGCACAATATACAAATTCACAAATATCAACACATTGTATTCCATCTATATTATAATAATCATAAATGGGCGCACTTGATTGATACCCAACACTTTTGTTATTCATAGTCTCTATTATGAGTGATAGGGTATTGCATGTCCATTTATTATGAGAGATACCTACATAAATGATGTTTTTCAAATTATTGAGAAGTCTCCTCATATCGAGCTGTTTCAAATGATTCCGATCCAGATAGAGTTTCTCCAAATTCATCATAGAGAAAAATATGCTTACTTCTTCCAATTTTATCAAAGATGTGTTGGATAAATCAAGTGTTCTCAGGTTCTTGAGATTAGAGAATAATCCATTCTCAATCAATTCAAAATGGTTGAAGCTCAAATTCAATACCATCAATTTCGATAAATATTGGAAACTTCCAGTAGGTATTTTCTTGATTTCATTATTCTGAAGAAAGAGTTTCCTGAGATTAGCGAACTCTGAGAAACAATGACTAGTTATAAAAGATATATCATTATTTTTCAGATTCAGAACCTCTAGTGATTTCATACCAGCAAACATATTTGAACTCAATTCAGTTAGCTTGTTATACTCTAAGTTCAGTTTTTTCAGATGAGGCAATGCTCTAAAAACACCTTCATATATATTGCTAATCATATTGCGGGACAAGTCCAATATTTCTGAAACATTCGACCCAATGAACACATCTTTACGAATGTTTACAACGTTATTATTATTCAACATCAAATACTTCAACTTCTTCAACCCCTCGAAGGAACTGCTCTCGATTGTTTCCAAATTCAAATTCGACAAATTTAGTGAAGGCAAGGACCTCAAATCTGAGAATGTGTTTTTTTTAATGTGTTTCGTGTACTTGAACAAATTCTGGGCATCCAGAAATTCCAAATTATATAAGTCATTGAGAGCTCCTTGATCAACAAATAATACGTCAGACTGTGTGAAGTGCAATTCCTTCAAATTGTATAATCCATCGAAACTATTTTCTCCCAAAACATCGATCATAGATTTTTGAATTGATAAATATCTGATGTGTAAATTTGAGATTTTGTTTGCAGTGAATGATCCATTATATGATATGCTCAATTTTTTCAATCTGAGTTCATTCGAAAATTTATGAAGTATTGTGATATTATTACCACTCAACTCAATATTATAGAGGTTATGCATTTGACTGAATAGAGTTGGTGGAATCACAGAAATTTCATTATTACTCAAATCCAGAGTTGTCAAACTTGGTAAATTATTAAAAGCGTGCATTTCCAAACTATTGATATAAAGTCCAGAGAGATTGAGCTCTGATAAATGAGGTAAATTGTTGAAAGCTTGTGTCCTTATCGTTTTTATTCGATTATTCTGCAAATTCAACGTAGCCATGTGTAGATCATGGAAAGTATCTCTTTCTAAAATCAGTAACATGTTGTTACTGAGATCTATCGTTCTCAAACTACTCAAATTCGCGAAGGAATCTTTTTCTATTTTCTCTATCCCACAATTCGATAAAATTATTTCAGTCAATGCAACGCAATCCGTGAAGGAATATTTATCGATGACTTCAATTCTATTGAAGGATAAATTTATTATGGCGACGTATACTCTGTGGAACACCTTTCTGATCGAAGATATTCCATTGAAACTCAGATTAATAGATTCCGTTTTGACATCATCAAAAACACCAGGTCTCAGATATTCGATATTGGAGTGGGAGAAATCAATAGAGGTTATGATGGAGTCTAGGAAAATATTACTTCCCAATGTACTGATATTATTATAACTCAAATTTAGCATCTTCACTCGCAAATGTTGGAAATAATACTCAGTGATATCTCTGATCGATGTAAATGATAAATCAATGGTTAGTTCAGGACTACTCCTTATTGATTCTAGAATATCAGCAGTTCCCATAGATAACTCAAAAATACTACTGTTTTTAATCGCCAGTTCTTTGAATACTACGACATTCAGCTTCCTGGTGATTTCAAATTCATTGGATGATAAAATGAAGTTGTCAACATAATATATACCGGACAAAAATATCATAGAATTATTACATATATTCAATGTGTTCTTTCGAGATTCTCTCAAACGGAGTGATCTCAAATGGTTATGACTCAGATCCAGTGACACAAAATCAGTCCCTAATTTGGTTTCATCGAATTCTGAAATATGGTTATAGCTCAGATCGATTGTATGAATACATTCATTGATGTTTTCGCCGGACTCAAACCTTGCTATGAAGTTTCTACTAATGTCGACATTTCTGACTCTACATATCGCACTGAAATCAAGAACACTGATTTTGTTCTTGGTCATTTCCAAAAGCTCCAATTCTTCAAAATGATTGAACACATGTTCAACATTAGTTATTTTATTGTCATTGAGGTATAGTTTCTTGAGGCCAGCAGATAAAAACTCCACAAAAGAAATGTCTATCAAAGTATTCGAACTCAAATCTAGGATTTCCAAGTCTTTTAATTCTTCGAAAGCACTCTTGAAAATTAGTTGAACTGATGAATTTCTGATTGCCACACTTCTGAGCTTGTATGGAGTATCATCCACAACTGGATTGGTGAAGTATTTGATGACCGTCAATCGGCTATCCACAATTTCAAAGGAGAGGTCAGTTGGTAAGTCATCTGGCAAAAACTTGTAAAAGGTGTCCAGAAAATTGTAATCAGTTCCTCTGCAGCGAAAAGTTTCATTTGAAAAAGTACATTTGGCAGTAACGAAGGATGATTCAAAGATATGAACCATGAAGAATAGGAGAATCATTCCTGGAACAAAAAAGCAATGTCAGATCCTCCCATATAAGCTTTTATAGTTATAATATTGTCACGTTTAAATCTCTAGGGGTAGAATTGTAAGTACCCATAATCCTTCCCGAGACATTCAAACCTATGACCAGTGAGGGGTTACTCGCTTGGCAGCAGAATAATGGGGCTAGATTCAACTTAACAAATTCATGAATTTTTATTCAATCATAAGCTCACATTGGGGTGTAAATTGAAGGACTACGAAAATGAGTAAAAAATACAAAAACAAAAGATGTCGAGCGTCAACGAGACAAAATAACCAGAACACATATTATATGAGGTTATATAAAAATAAAACATAAATATAACATAGAAATCATGTACTCACCAAAGAGCGTGCTTCTCCATGGGGGTGGAACTCGAGGGGCGCGGTGTGTCGAAAAACTAAACTTACTTCAAGAATGAAACGCGTGATCGCACTACTCGCGATCCCTAATCGTAATGCCGGCTTTTTCATCAAACTCGATATTCCTTGTTTCGAAAAATACTCCGTCAGCGATAATTTAACCGATCATAGGTGCCAGCGACCTGGTAAAAAGATTGCAAATCAAAATAATACTGATTGAAATTGGATTCCTGATTTCCTGGCAACTACGATCGACAGAACTGTCTTCCGGAAATGTAAAATTAGCTATGAATAATATATTTACTGGGAAAAGACTAAAAATTGGAATTTAAAATAACTGAATAAAATACGAATGATCATTATATCTTGACATATTTCCCCCCACCATGGAAAAGCTGGCCCCTCAGCTTTGAGGTTACCTAAAAATTGAGAGCAGATGAAAAAAAAAGGAAAAAAAATCAATGAATGAAAACCAAGGTCTATCAATGAATAATAAAAAAAAAGATAATATAAAAAAAAACTAATGTCTTTCATTTGAGTCCATCACAACATAAGTCAAGGGGCTTGAAAAATTAAGTCCCGCTCTGTCCACTCACAAGATAAGTCAAGGGGCTCAAAAAACTAAGTCCAGCCCTGTCCACTTACAACAGTCACAAGAAATATTATAATATAATATAATATAATAACCCTCCGACGTCTCCAAAGTATACTCTTTGCCTTCTTGGTTCCTCATCGATGGGAGTCCTGGGAACCGCAGTGAAGTGCCTTGCTGAGGAACATGATCTCCACATGATCAATGTGGATTACTTGGTCTGCTGGTAACTTCTACATTGCTGCGACTTGACGCTTTGTGTCTCGTAGGTTGTGAAGGTGGTCTGACTCCTGGTGAGCAGCGGGACACCCTACAGGATTTTCGTAAGGTATGAAGGTACCACTGTCCCTTTTTCCGTCTTCTTCGCAGACTCATCAACCAGGTTATTGAACTTCACTCAGGTGCCATATTCGTACGATTATACTTCCCAAAGTATAAACGACTGGGTGGGTTTCCGTCTCAGCAAACAGAGGTTTTCTGTGTTGTCCTTGCATGGTCACTTCTTAGATCTCCCATTCGCAGTATGGGACCTCTGAGCGTGGCATGGAGATAGGAGCATAGGATGCATTGGCTTCATCTCCTTAGGCTCTCTCCTTCGTGAGTGTGTGTCCCAGAATCCGTTGTGATGGCTCATCTCTTGTTGAACATGTAACAGGAAATATACACCAAGTAAGTTCTTAGAAGAAAAAATTTTGTAACTTTTCAATCGAAGTTTCTCTTGTTTGATGTGATTAACAACTTACATAAATATTTCTATGTGGTAATTGATCAATTACACCCCTTTTTATTTCTTCAACTAACCCTATCTACCCTTGCTTAAAATACTTCAATGATTTCATTCTATTGAAGATCAGTACAGGTTCTCAGAAAAAAATTAAAAAAATATCCTCTACAATCAACTTGGTCTTCGTTCGATGTTTTCAAAACAGATATAATCATTACATTCAGTAACCTGGCAGCATATAACAACAACAAAAATTATAAATTTATTATTTTGCTACCTAGTATGAGCATTTGAACATTTCTTCTTTTCTCACTACATATTTCGACAATTTTCCTAATTTCAGTAATTTCTCATTAATCTGAATTAATGAGGAAAATAACGAGTTATTTGCAATTGACAAATAACTCGAGCGATTCTCAACATGAATCATTCATATAGTTTTTTTTTCTATTTTTTATCAGTATTTTGAACTCAATTCTGTAGAAATTCGCCAGATTTCATCATATAAGTACCAAAAGGATACATTTATGAACTAGCGTATTTCTACCCAACTTAGTACTCTAGTACTTAGTTGTCATCTTTTGGTGTAGTTCTAATGGGTGCAGTCAGGGCCCTTTGACTATATGGCATCCATTAGGAGTAGACCGCAAGGAACACCTAATTTGTAAATTCTTTTTGGAAACCTAAATGATCATCAAAATACCACGTTTCCGGCTTTTCCCTCAACCCTTTTACTTTTCTATCCTTCTTTTTCAACTATTTTAGACTATTATCAACAATCCAGATTCTCATTGATATGCAAACAAAACATTATCAATCATCTTGATCAACCTCCTCTTCATCGTCTGTGATTCTATAAATTGTACATTTCAAATTTTGTCCAGGTCGCAAATTCATACTTTGTTCGTCTAACTCGATTCGATATTCCCCACGTGTATTACTTCTTTCAGATCTTGATTTGTTTGCTGACTTTGTTTCGTTTGTTTTACGTTTCTTCTGGAGGATGCACCAAGTCCAGAGAGTTTTAAGTGAAATATATATAATGAACATAAGTAAGGTTGCACATAAAACACCAAAGAATATATCGTGTTCTATTGGTGCTGAGGTTTTTGCATGAACCCGAGTGAATAAATTTGGTAGGAGTGCTAATTGATTCGGACCTCGGAATATTAGGTAAACTATGATGATTGACATGATAGAATTCCATACTAAAAATATTGAGTCGCTATGAAGTCCGTAAGTATTAGAATAAATGTATTTGATATGTTCCCTGACATTGTCTACTACTTCGTTTATCGTGTCATGCGTAGTTGTCAGATTCAAATGTGGTATGTTCAGAGTCCAGTTGTAATTTAAAGTTTCCGTAAAATTTTGATACTGAGGAGGGTTCGCCAATTCGGATTGAGAATGAATGATTGAAGATTCGTCCATGCTGCAGGAATTATATGTATGATACTAGCTTCGGGAATATTTGCCTCTGGGCACGGAAATCTTTGAGGAATCATTTCTTCTTCATTCATCATGAGTTTACAATTACACGGGACACGTATTTTGACTGCTCCTGGGTAATAGTATGCGGAATCAGGAAGAGGGGTGGTTATATTAGGGCACATAATTTTTGTAGTTGGTTTAGGGTAGGTTAGTATATAGGTCTCTTCTTCAATTTCCGAAATAGATAATGAATTTGACTTATGGCATTGCATAGGGCAAACATTATTTAGTTCACTAACTGTGGCACCATTGTATAATTTCTCAGCACATGCGGGCCCTTGAAAAGTGTCAGCTGAGAACCTAGGTATATAACATAATTTATCATCAAAAGGCCTACAGTGGCGGAGACCTGATCCTGAGATTTGTCTAATTTGTTTTTGACCACCATTACTTGAAGTGTCTTTAGCAACTGCCAAAAAATTGTTTCGTGCTGAATAGAACAGGTTTGATTTTGCCAAGAAAATGGAGTTGTTATGAGTTCAAGAAGTTGCCATGACTGGGATTTTTGAATTATCGGTACTCTTATATGTACCAGAATGTTATTATCTGTAAATGAACAATCGCAAATTGGGAGTTGATAATATTTTGAAATATCTGAAATAGGTATGGCTAAATGTTGACCCGCATCATTTATTTCTGTTTGCAATTTTGAAAGGTCATGGTATAAAATAGAGGGATTTAGGATAGCGATGGGAATATGATGATGGTGGCAGGAGTTCAAAATTCCTTGTCTCTTAATAGTCCTAACCAGTTGGATATTATGTTTCAGATTCTTGAATTGTCTAAATAACATTTTTATCATTATATTTCCCTGATTCCGTTCACTACTGAGAATTGTATTTTCCATGTCTCCTACAAAAGACTCTGAATTATGAATTCTAAATTCTGTTTCATTAAAGGCTTTACCTATGGATTCTTCATATTCTGAAAACTTTTTTGAATCATCTGAAATTTTTGTCAGTTTTTTCGATAGTCCGTCAGTAAGTTTGTCAATTTGAAATTGTAAATTATTTTCGTTTGTGACTAATTTATCCAATTTTTGAAGGGTAGCAACCCCACAGCACCAAGAGAGACCCTCACCCAGGAAATCGAGTGATCTTCTACTTCTACTTATTATACTCGGTTCATTAACATATATTTTCAGAAAATTTGTACTCCAACTTTCTTCTAAAAGTTCAAATTCCTTTTCAAAAGAAGATTCTAATAAATCTAAATTATGTAACAAAAAACATTCGGGTCTATTATTTGGATCATTAGTGCATTCTCCAGAAAACTGTCTTTTTTCTTTCAGAATTTTTTCGTGCCATTTTGATTGATATAAAAGAGGTATTGTTGCCTCATAACTGATTGTAGAGGGGAGGGGTCTCCAAAACGCCCCTGCCGTGATTTCCAATTTTTCACTCCTGACCAAGCCTATCAGGTAGAGAGGTAGGAACCTGTTGATATACCAAAACTACTATTATTACTTATATTTCTATATTATGCGTATCAAAAATTCATTATAATTATCTATTTGAATGGAATCTGTTGGTTCGACTCAATATAAATCTACATACAAAAACTCGAGCATATGTAAAAAAAATATGGGGACATAAAATATAGATATGTACAGTTAATCAAGGTCAGGTATCGGCTCTAGAGTCCACGGGTCATTATAGGGTAAAATGCGACTCACATGCACCACCTCTTTCTTTGCATTCGCTGATGGGCCTTCCCTAGGGTCCAAAGTATTTTAGTAAAAGTTTTGTGCTCCTGCCGACTTTTCTCCTAGGTGTAAAAATTTTTACTTGATCTCCTATGTTGTATTC